GTGGAAATTGTCCGCACGAGGGACAGTGGGTGTGAGATCGACTCGAGTGGGGACATTGGGGTGCTGACCGTACAGTGCGAAGAACGGTGACATGCCTGTGGCGGAGTGGTGCGTGTTGTTGTATGCGAACTCTGCCATGCTCAGCTTCTTGTCCCATGCGGCTGTCTCGTGCATCGTAATGCTGCGAAGAATCTGCTCCAAAGTCTGGTTCACACGCTCGGTCTGTCCGTCTGTCTCTGGATGGTACGCAGACGACATGGCTAAGCGAGTCCCAAACAGTGCGAAAAGCTGCTTCCAGAACTTCGAGGTGAATCTAGGGTCGCGGTCTGAGATGATGGAATCTGGAACCCCGTGCAGTCGGACTACGTTATCTACGAACAGCGTCGCGGCTTCCTCTGCTGTGACCTGGCCGTGCGTGGGGATGAAATGCGCTGCTCGGGAAAACTTGTCCACTACCACGAAGATGGCGTCGTGACCCCTAACTGTGCGCGGTAAAGCCATGATGAAATCCATGGTGACTACCTGCCAAGGGCGGTCGGGCGGTGGAATCGGCTGCAAAAGTCCTGCTTTGCGCTGGCGAGAGGACTTCGTACGCTGACACGTGTCGCACGAGCGAATATAATCCTCTACGTCTGCTGCAAGCCCTGGCCAGTAGTACGTGCGACTAAGCGTCTTAGCCGTCTTATCCGCTCCGAAGTGACCTGCACTAACTACGTCTTTCGCCTCTGAGAGAAGGAGCTGTCGAAGAGGGCGGTAGGCTGGAACCCAAATCCGTGCTGTACCCTTCCGTATGTAGACACTACCCTGCACCTCTGCTCCTGCGGGCGGCTGTGCTGTGAAGTCAGGATCTACTGTGTAACCGTGCTCGAAGAGTGCTGTGAGAAGTGGATGGCCGGCAGTGACTGTGAGACTAGCGAGCTGGCAACTAGGGCGAGTGAGCGGATCTGCTGGGTTGCGCACGCCTGGCTTGTACTCTATCCTGTAGTGGAAACTCCCCTCCATGAACTCCATCCATCTAGCCTGGCGACGACTCAGCTGCGGCTGCGACTTGAGAAAGCGAAGCGAACAGTGGTCCGTGCGTATAACACTATCTGCCCCCTCTAGGTAGCACCTCCACACCTTATACGCATGGATGATCGCGAGCGCCTCCTTGTCGTGGATCGGATAGTTCAACTCTGCTCCCCTAAGCTTACGCGACTCGTACGCGATCGGCTGCAACCCGCGTCCCTGGTCCTGAAGAAGCACTGCACCTATGGCCTGATCTGAAGCGTCGGTCACTACAACGTATGGGCGAGTGGGATCGGGGTACGACAGTGTCGGTGAAGACGTGAGCGACTGCTTCATCTGCTCGAACGCCTGCTGCTGCGCTGGACCCCAAACGTACTCTACGCCTTTCCGAAGTAGGTCGGTGAGTGGACTAGCGATGGAAGCGTAACCCTGAACGAAACGACGGTAGTAGTTCGCGAATCCGAGTGCTCTGCAACTCTTTGACTGAGGTCGGTGCTATCCAATCCTGTACTGCTGCGATCTTCTTCGGGTCGGTCCTAACGCCACTAGCGGAAACGACGTGACCTAGAAACTCGACCTCGGGGAGGAAGAACTCGCACTTAGACTGCTTCGCGTACAGCTTCTCCCTCCGCAAGACCTCAAAGACCCTCTGCAAGTGCTGCACGTGCTCCTCCTTCGACTTGGAAAAGATGAGGATGTCGTCTAGGTAAACTACGACGAACGAACCTAGGAACTCCGAGAGGACTGTGTTCATGAGCGTCTGGAACGTTGCTGGGGCGTTGGTCAAACCGAACGGTAGTACCCTAAACTCGTACAACCCCTGCTTCGTACGAAACGCCGTCTTGTGCTGATCCTCTGGAACTACGCGAATCTGGTGGTAACCCGAACGAAGGTCGATCTTGGAAAATACTCTAGCGCCCTGCACTGCATCTAGGAGATCCTCTACTCTCGGCACCGGGAATCTGTTTTTTACGGTGGCGTCGTTCAGTGCGCGGTAATCTATGCACATCCGTAACCCTCCGTCTTTCTTAGGCGCGAACAGGATCGGTGCTGCCCAAGGCGATCTAGATGGCTGTATGAACCCCTGCGCGAGAAAGTGCCTAACCTGCTGCGTCATCTCCTCTGTCTCTGCTGGACTCAACCTCCACTGCGGCTTCGCTACTGGCTTGCTCCCCGGCTCCAACTCTATTCGATGGTCTACTGCTCGGCTGGGAGGTAACCCTGGGGGCAACTCGTCGGGGAAGACGTCTGCGAACTCTGCTAACAGTGCACTCACCTCAGCAGGAAGAGTCGCCTTCTCACTAACTGCTGCACTCCCTCCTTTCCCCTCCTCTGCTTCAACCTCCTCAAGGAAAACTGCGAAGATCCGTGCCGCACGCTTCACTAACTGTCGCACACGAACAGCATTAATGATAGCTGTGGATGATGTGGCCCCATCGCTCCACTGTGGCAGCTCCCGGAACTCCCCGTCTACCTTGACACTGCAGCTTCCCTGAGCCCAATCGAACTGAGTACTAACCGTGCGTAGCCAATCTCTCCCGAAGATGAAATCGTATCCGTCCAGCGTCGCAGAGTCGAAATCACGCCTAACTGTGATCGGTCCTAGCACTACGCGCAACTTGCGAATGATTGGCCCTATGTTGAGAGGTGTCCCATCTACCATTCGAGCATCCTTGAAGTTGACTGCGGAATCTGCTTCGAGATGGAGACGACTAACTAGCGATGATGAAACGAACGAGTGGCTAGCTCCGCTATCGACGAGAATCTTAACAGGAACTCCGCGAAGCTTCCCTAGAAGCACGACTGGACGATCAACAGTGTCTACCTCGTTCTCCGTAGATGACTGCTGCGAGGCCGTCTCCTCTACGTTGGTAGACGTGGCGGGTACGGGAACCTCCACACCAGCTAGCGACCCGCTATCTACTGGCGGTCCCGCTTCATGTGACCCGGCTTTTTGCAGTAGTAACAGTTCCCCCTAAAACCCGTCCGCTGTGAACCGTCACTGTTAACTGCACCAATCTCCATGGGCGATGGTCCGTCCCTCGATCGAGCGTCGTTGATCGGTCTGCTGTATCCCCTATCGCGATCGTCACGACCCCGTCGGCTTCGTACTGCGTCGACGCGTTCTGCTGCTGCGACTACTGACTCGAAGGTGGACAACCCGTGAATCGCTATGACCTCCGCTATGTCCGGCTTCAACCCCTCGAGGTAGCGATCGCGCATCTCTGCTTCCGTGATGTTGTCTATATCGTTGCAGATACTCAAGAACCGTCGTGTGTACTCCTGGACGTTCCCTATCTGGCGGAAATGACGCAGACGCTTCCTAGCAGCTTCGGAGGCGTTCACCAAGTCGAACCTACTTTTCAGCGCCGCTTCAAATCCTTCCCATGTGGTCGGAACCGTGGTAACACCCAAAGCTAAACTCCCTAAGCTCGAAGTTGCAGCTGCATGCCCCACGCCCTGTTGATGCCCGTCCGTCTGAGCCCTTCTAACAGCAGTCTGCGTAAGTTGGCGCCACCACTCCAAGGCCGGCCCCCTCAACAGCGTCACGGCATACTCAATCCGCTGCTGCGCGTCCGCCTCTTGCACCCCGCTCGCGGCGAAGTAGTTGTTGAGCATGAAGAGCCACGTCCGCACGTTCGCGTCGCGCTGACTTGGGTCGAACGACTCCGGTTTCTGCGGCTTGAGCGCGCTTCGATGTTTCGGTAGCGCTTCCGCGCCGGTCGACGTGGTGGGTGCAGGAGTTGGTGCGGCATGACCATGGGGGTTAGAAGCCAATTCACGAAGCTGTTGCATTTCAGCTCGTACCTGACGATTTTCCAACGTCAACTCTTGAAGTTGGCGCATGAGTTCGGCAAGCGCGTTGCCCATGTCTTGGGGGAGAGCGTTCATGGTCTCGTCCATGTTGGCTCGACGACTCCAAGTCTGCAAGTCGGCACCGCGGGACGATGACGGTTTAGTCTCGTCGTCGACGGTCGCTCGTTGGAAGTCGCTCCCCGCGAAGGCTCTTGATACCAAGTGTTAGGCCCGACGGCCTAAGTCCGCTAAAGAATTAGCGGGGTCGACTAAGTCGAGGATAAAGCGCGGCGGAAGGCTTTGGCGAAAAGACTATTGGCGAAATAGGCGAAGAAGTTACTGAGTAATTGAAAGAGAGTTGAATGAGAATTGGTTGATATTGGTGGATACAAGCAAGGTTGATATAGCATGCAAGAGCAATTGTGGGAAAGTGGTTTGTGGGACTAGGAATTGTAGTGCAAGAAAAGTAGAGTGCCACGTGGCACTAGGAAATCTAGGAAGATAAGGATAAGGGTGAGTTGGAAAGTACTGTTCGGAATGAACAGTAAACACCCCTCTAACAAGATGGTATAATGGGTAGATCCAGTGCATCTGGTGCATTGTCCAAATTCCTCGGCCTCCAGCATTGTTGCAAGCTGAGGCCACGTCACCCGACTCGAATCCTCCATATTCTGTTGACCTCAACAGGTTACTTGACTCCAGTTACATTTCGCCAATCTCGCCAAAACCCACAAGATTTATCGTTGCCGTCGCGCAGGACAACAGTTCCCAAGAAACAGCCAATTGGAGAGGGGGGAGCAGAGATTTATGATGACAGGGAAGGTAGGGATAGTCCCCTCCACCATGAAGAAGTTCCCTACCCCAAACCACATTACCACATACAGTACCACCACGAATATCGGCAACGAACCGAGTTGCGTCAGAACTGCAGATTTGAACATCAACCTCTCCCGCCAAAGCTCCACAGGTTCCTCAGCACAGCAAGCAGTAACTAGCTGACCAGGCTAAGGTGTCTTTTTGTCGCAGTTTTCTGAGAGAATTCGAGTCACAGAGCCATTAGGCGTGTGATTCGCCAGGTAGAACATTTCTCGCTGCTCCGCCTCTGTCATCAGCGGTGATTTTGTGATCCGTGCACCTCGCCGGATTTCCCGTTCTTGATTTTCGCGCATTCGACGGTTTCCGAGACGGCAGCTTCCATGGCTACCTCGCTTTCCTCGCGCTGCCTTACGCCGGCATCAGGCGTCGCAGATGTCGAATTGAGGAGCTCGTTTGTCGGTTCCCAGGTTTCGCTCGCTCAGGCGAAGCCGTGTGTGGTAACCGCGTTTCGCGGCGCGGGTGTCAGATGCGAGGCTGGTTCTGCTCGGCAGCGAAAGCACAACGTGTCGGCGAACGCTCAAGCGGTTGAAGCGGAGGGAGCGACACAGACGCTGAACATTGCTGAGGATGTTACACAGGTAATCACTCGCTTTTTGTCATGCCGCTCTCTGCGTTCCCTGAAATTTGCACGTTAGAGCTCATGGGAGTGATTTGTGCATGAAAATTGTCCTTTTTTATCTACCTTTTCTTCAAAATGATAGTATTCACGCTCTGATCGACCCCAAAAATCCTTACAGCGGAGCAAGTTCGTTCAATTAATATCTTAACAATACCCCTTCTGGTTTATCACAACAAAATCAATTATGGCGCCTCATCTATCCCTGTGCCTTTCCTTCTTTCATTGATCATCTATCCAGCTGATCGGCAGCACCCCAATGAAGTATCTCGTGCTGTCCATATGCCTTTCCTGATCTCATTGATCATCATCTCACCAGCTGATCGGCAGCACGCCCATGGTGTATCTCAACAAGGTCGTTGATGGCGCCTTATCTGTCCGCTGTCCCTCTGCGTTGCCTTTTCATCCTTCCCCTCTTCTCATTAATCGCCATACCAGCTCATTGGCAGCACGCCCATGGTGTATCTCAACAAGGTTGTTGACGGCTCCCTGGCAACCATCGCAGGGAAGCTCGAGATCATGGAGCCTTGCTGCAGCGTCAAGGACAGGTGCGCTGCTACATGTCCCTTTTTTTGGTTAAAGCTGTCAGCGTGTTAGAGCTTGGGAGACCTTGTGCCGTTTTGATTTATGCACATTGCTCATGTGTCTCGTTTAGAGCTGTCGCGTTTAGGGACAAGACGTTGCTGCAGTGAAGTTGAAGTGAAGTTTGGTTGCTTCCGAACCTCGTTTTCATATGTCAGACATCTCGCATCTTCGAAGCCAAGTGGCTCTGCCAACTTCTTCTCAAGTCCTGTCATGCAGATCACATCACGTCATCTAGTACAGTATGTGCAGCGATGCTGGGGAGTGATAGCTCACTGTTCCAGTTTCTAAGGCGCTATAATAACCTTTCGTGTTTCCGTCACTTCCTGTCCCGTCCCGTCCCAACCCATACCGTCCCGTCCTGTTCCGTCTGCTTAACAGAATCGCGTACAGCATGATCAACGACGCCGAGGAGCGAGGGGTGATCGCTCCAGGCAAGGTCAGCCTCCCTGTGCTCTTCCACGCTCTGTTGCCCTTCCACGTTCGTGCTCTTCCAGCTTCGTGTTTCGCTTCACTGCGTCCTGACTGGATACGTAATGATTGCCTTAGTCGATTACTTCAGCGCAGCCAGCCAGCGTCGTGTCGTTGGGCTTCAACTTCTTCTCTTCTTACAGCCTTTCCTCGTTTCGGGATCCCGCCCACCCACCGTGGTGGGCCCTTGTCCCCTTGTTTCCATGCCCCTCTTTGTCCCCTTGTCCATATCTTTGTGTCACTTTGTTCCTCTTTGTTCCGCATATCCAAGCAGAGGGGGCTGGTGAAGCTGATGTGGGGCAACATGGGCATAGGGCTGGTGTGAGGCTCATGTGTCCCTCTACCTCTATCCTGTGTTCCCCATTGTATTTTCCCCCTCAGAGCGTGCTGGTGGAGCCGACGTCGGGCAACACGGGCATCGGCTTGGCTTGAGGTGTCTTGTGTCCCTCTACCCCCCTTGTCCTTTCAGAGCGTGCTGGTGGAGCCGACGTCGGGCAACACGGGCATCAGCTTGGCTTTAGCTCCCCTTAACCCCTCTCTGTCCCCCCTTTCCCTTCCCCTTGTCCCTTGAAACAGAGCGTGCTGGTGGAGCCGACGTCGGGCAACACGGGCATCAGCTTGGCTTTAGCTCCCCTTAACCCCTCTCTGTCCCCCCTTTCCCTTCCCCTTGTCCCTTGAAACAGAGCGTGCCGGTGGAGCCGACGTCGGGCAACACGGGCATCAGCTTGGCTTTAGCTCCCCTTAACCCCTCTCTGTCCCCCCTTTCCCTTCCCCTTGTCCCTTGAAACAGAGCGTGCTGGTGGAGCCGACGTCGGGCAACACGGGCATCAGCTTGGCTTTAGCTCCCCTTAACCCCTCTCTGTCCCCCCTTTCCCTTCCCCTTGTCCCTTGAAACAGAGCGTGCTGGTGGAGCCGACGTCGGGCAACACGGGCATCAGCTTGGCTTTAGCTCCCCTTAACCCCTCTCTGTCCCCCCTTTCCCTTCCCCTTGTCCCTTGAAACAGAGCGTGCTGGTGGAGCCGACGTCGGGCAACACGGGCATCAGCTTGGCTTTAGCTCCCCTTAACCCCTCTCTGTCCCCCCTTTCCCTTCCCCTTGTCCCTTGAAACAGAGCGTGCTGGTGGAGCCGACGTCGGGCAACACGGGCATCAGCTTGGCTTTAGCTCCCCTTAACCCCTCTCTGTCCCCCCTTTCCCTTCCCCTTGTCCCTTGAAACAGAGCGTGCTGGTGGAGCCGACGTCGGGCAACACGGGCATCAGCTTGGCTTTAGCTCCCCTTAACCCCTCTCTGTCCCCCCTTTCCCTTCCCCTTGTCCCTTGAAACAGAGCGTGCTGGTGGAGCCGACGTCGGGCAACACGGGCATCAGCTTGGCTTTAGCTCCCCTTAACCCCTCTCTGTCCCCCCTTTCCCTTCCCCTTGTCCCTTGAAACAGAGCGTGCTGGTGGAGCCGATGTCGGGCAACACGGGCATCAGCTTGGCTTTAGCTCCCCTTAACCCCTCTCTGTCCCCCCTTTCCCTTCCCCTTGTCCCTTGAAACAGAGCGTGCTGGTGGAGCCGACGTCGGGCAACACGGGCATCAGCTTGGCTTTAGCTCCCCTTAACCCCTCTCTGTCCCCCCTTTCCCTTCCCCTTGTCCCTTGAAACAGAGCGTGCTGGTGGAGCCGACGTCGGGCAACACGGGCATCAGCTTGGCTTTAGCTCCCCTTAACCCCTCTCTGTCCCCCCTTTCCCTTCCCCTTGTCCCTTGAAACAGAGCGTGCTGGTGGAGCCGACGTCGGGCAACACGGGCATCAGAGGTGTCTCTTTGTGCCCCCTTGTCCCCTCCCATATACCCTGTCTGTCAGAGCGTGCTGGTGGAGCCGACGTCGGGCAACACGGGCATCGGCTTGGCGTTCATAGCAGCGGCGAGGGGCTACAAGCTCGTCCTCACCATGCCCGCCTCCATGAGCCTCGAGCGCCGCGTGCTGCTCAAGGCCTTCGGGGCCGACCTCGTGCTCACGAACCCCGCCAAGGGCATGAAGGGCGCTGTTGCTAAGGCGGAGGAAATTGTGAAGAGCACCAAGAACGCGTACATGCTGCAGCAGTTCGAGAACCCGGCGAATCCCAAGGTAGGTGGATCGATGCTTGCTTATCCCTTAAAATGTGGGATGCTATTGTTTTTTTTAATTCATTCGTTCGTTTTGCTGTCTGAGTTAAATTATCTAATATTGCTGTGAAGGTTAATAGGCTTCTTATTTACGTTTCCTTTTACGATTTTCATATCACAGTGATTAGTCTTGTCTGGAAGGACCAATTGGGGCCTTAGTGGTGGACCTGATTCCTGCCTCATGGCAGATGCCTAGGAAATCGTGGGCGTCTGGTATGCTACTGCACAGCCTGTAGGGTAATCTTTTAAGGTCCCCCCCTGGTTGATCCTTAGGGATCCTCCTTGCTTCCAGTTCCTCTGGTTGATATTCTTTATGGAGTATTTCCTTGTTGCGTGGTGCAGGTGCACTTTGAGACTACGGGGCCTGAGATCTGGGAGGACACTAACGGGCAGGTGGACATCCTTATAGCGGGGATAGGCACGGGCGGCACCGTCACTGGCGTGGGGCGCTACCTGCGCAGCAAGAAGCCCGGCGTCAAGGTGGGTGTGACTGTAACGAGGGTTTGGGAGGGAAGGGGTCGAGGAGGGAAAGGTGGGAGCATGGCTTCAGATTCAAGGTGGGAGTGGGTGATGCGACTGTAAAAGCGGAAGGGAGGGGGCGGCGGTGTTAAGGAAGCTATTGGTAGGCATGCTAATATCGGGGATAGGCACGGGCGGCCCCGTCACTGGTGTGGGGCGCTACCTGCGCAGCAAGGAGCCTGGCGTCAAGGTGGGTGTGTGATTGTAACGAGGGGTTGGATGGGGAAAGGGGGGGGTGGAAGCCTGGCGTCAAAGTGGGTGTGTGGCTGTAGAGGGACTGGGTGTGGGGAACTGGAATCCTGACGTAAAGGTGGGGGTGACTGCTGGGGTCCTGTTCCCTCTGTCCCTGTCCCCATTCGCCTGTTCTTCCATTCCCATCGTCTCGCCCTCTCAGCCTCCACCAATCCGCTGCAGATCAATGTCATGGAGCTCATATAGAATGCCATTCTACCAATTCTCATCTTTGTTTGAGTCGACTCACAAGCCCATCTGCCACAAATCATTGTCATGGAGCTCAAATGGAATGGCATTCTGTCAATTCTCATCTACTTTCACGCGCCGCCTCCTCTCTTCTTCCCTCCTCCCCCCCCCCCCCCCCCCCCCCCCCCCGTCCTCCACCAACCCCTGCAATTACACTGCTGCAAATCATCAGCCCAACGAGGGCACCCTTCTTTCCGGCCCCCAATGTCCCTCTCACCCGCTTCCTCCCCTCTCTTCTCTTACCCCCCTCTCCCGCCAACCCGCACCCAACTTCGTTCTCTCTTTGCTCCTGTCATCTGCTGCAGATCATCGCTGTGAGCCCAAGGAGATAACCTTTCTGTCTCAACGTCCCTCTCACTTGCCCCTCCCCTCTCCCTTCACCTCTTCCGGCCCCTCCCTCCCCTATGTTGACTCCTGTCATCTGATGCAGATCATCGGTGTGAGCCCAAGGAGAGCGCGATTCTGTCCGGCAACCTACCTCCCTCTTTCACCCTCTCCCCTTCCCCCTCTTCTTCCTCCCTGGTCTCTCCCCTCCCCCATATCCTCCCCTGCGTTGACACCTGCCATCCGCTGCAGATCATCGGCGTGAAGCCCAAGGAGAGCGCCATTCTGTCCGGCAACCGACGTCACTCTCACTCTCTCCCCCCTCTCCCTTTCCCTCTCTTCTCCCCCCCACCCCTCTTCTTCACCCCCTGCCATCTGCTGCAGATCATCGGTGTGGAGCCCAAGGAGAGCGCCATTCTCTCCGGTGGCAAGCCAGGTACGGGTTGAGGCAGGCAAGTATGGGCCGAGGGAGGTATGGCCTGAGGGAGGTACGGGCCGAGGCAGGTACGGGTCGAGGCAGGTACGGGTCGAGGCAGGTACGGGCCGAGGCAGGTACGGGTCGAGGCAGGTACGGGTCGAGGCAGGTACGGGTCGAGGCAGGTACGGGTCGAGGCAGGTATGGGTCGAGGCAGGTATGGGTCGAGGCAGGTATGGGTCGAGGCAGGTATGGGTCGAGGCAGGTATGGGTCGAGGCAGGTATGGGTTGAGGCAGGTATGGGTCGAGGCAGGTATGGGTCGAGGCAGGTATGGGTCGAGGCAGGTATGGGTCGAGGCAGGTACAGGCCGAGGCAGGTACAGGCCGAGGCAGGTACAGGCCGAGGCAGGTACAGGCCGAGGCAGGTACAAGCCGAGGCAGGTACGAGTGGAGGAAGGTATGGGCGGAGGCAGGTACGGGCGGAGGCAGGTACGGACGGAGGCAGGTACGGACGGAGGCAGGTACGGGTGGGCGGAGACAGGTAAGGTAGGGGCCGAGGTAGGTGTGGTGTGGGCTGGGCAGTTATGGGCTGCGTAGGTACGGGCAAGGGCAGCATTCACACAGCATGTCACATGATGACAGTACATACAACAGGGTTCTGTGTTCCGTCGTTGCTTGGTTCCCACTTTCCCTGTGCAGGCCCGCACAAGATCCAGGGCATTGGAGCTGGGTTCGTGCCAGGCATTCTGGACGTGGGGCTGCTGGACGAGGTCATTCCGGTGCGTGCGTGCAGCAACATGAGTATAAGCTGTGCTTCCAGATAGCATGAGTTCGTGTACAACTCTCATACCAGGCCAGGCATTCTGGACGTGGGGCTGCTGGACGAGGTCATTCCGGTGCGTAGTGTGCCTGCATGCATGCTGTCAGCATACCCGTATGCCCATTTAAGTGCTTGTAACGGCCGCCATGATGTGCCGAGCATTCTGGACGTGGGGCTGCTGGACGAGGTCATTCCGGTGCGTTCCATGCTTGCCTGCCTACCTGCATGCCGTCAGCATAACAGATGAGGTGTTGTGAAAGAACAGCCGTACGCACATATGAATGCTCAGAACAGCAGTCTTGCCGAGCCGGGCATTCTGGACGTGGGGCTGCTGGACGAGGTCATTCCGATGTGTTGCATTCGTGCCTGCAACACAATGAGTGTGATTTGTGACTGCATATAATACAAGTTTCTGTAAGACAGCATGTGCTTGTAACAGCTGTCTTGCCGTGACAGGCTTTCTGGACGTGGGGCTGCTGGACGAGGTCATTCCGGTGCGTTGTGTGCAGCAGCATGGGTAGCGTGGCATGCAGTAGCATGAGCAGCACATCATGCCATCATGATGTGAAACACTCATCATCTCAAGCACCATAGACCTGCAGCTTGGAGCATCATGGTCCAGAGCATTCTGGACATGGGGGCGTTTGGAGGAAGTCCTTTTCAGGCGACTTTTGAGGCGCCTCAAAGCTTGGAGCATCATGCTCCAGGGCGTTCTGGAGGAAGTCTGCCTTTGCGCTCCTTCGAGTACCTTCCATGGAGTTCCAATAATCCACGCTTTCTGTGTTTGGGTATGTGATGTGATCTCCCCTCCCCTCTCTCTGCAGGTCAGCAGTGATGACTCGGTGGCCAGGCCAAGGACAGTCAAGGACTGAGATTTGCTGTGTACGCTAGGACTTCTCACCCCATCTTGCTTCCATGTGTCCCCCCTCACATCTTGCTCTCTGCAGGTGAGCAGCGATGACTCGGTGGCCATGGCCAAGGACCTTGCAGTCAAGGAGGGATTGCTGGTACGCCTCCTCTTCCCACGTTCCTTTGCCCCCCGCTCCTTGCTTATCTTTCGAATTATCTTTGATCTTCTCGCCTAGAATCTCTTCAGAAGATGATATGTGATCGACTCTCGTTTCAGAAACAGGCGCATCTCCTTATGTCAATATCGCTCTTGAGAATTCTTGTAAGTGATTTTATTTGCATCTCCTATGTCCATCAACGGGGCTCAGAATCGTCCCTACTGCATTTAATTTGAAGAACACCACCATCCCATCTCTGCTCTCTGTTCCAAACCTCCCTCATTCCAGAGAAATAAGAAAGGATTTCTCAGCTCTCTGTCATTCACTGCTTGTGCAGGTGGGAATCGCGTCAGGGGCTTTTTAATTCTTGAGGAGTCTGGGAAGCAGATTTCCCACAAATCACATCACGTCACATCAAATCACGTCTTCTCTTGCTCCTTGTGCAGGTGGGAATCTCGTCAGGAGCGGCGGTGGTGGCGGCGCTTCAAGTGGCCAAGCGGCCTGAGAACGCCGGCAAGCTGATTGTGGTGAGTGCCTCTCTGTATCCCTCTCTGTATTCTGTATCCCCGTACTGACAAGGCTGGTTCACTTTTGTGTATCCTCGAGAGCGACTTATCGTCGTGCGAAACTCTTGGTAACATCCCTGCTTGCAAGTCTTGCAAAGTCACCATACACCATGTATGGTGCTGTGTTCTTGTCACTCTCCCACTCTCGTGCAGGCAGCCCACTCACACTGCTCTCCACTCCACTCTTCGCGCCGTGTAATCTGAAATTTCTTTTCTGCCTGCATCTCTTCTCTCTTCTCTCATCAATTTTTTTGAGAAGTCCATGTGGTGCCTTCTAGCCGTGGGGAGGACCACCACCACTCCTCGGTACTCTCGTCCTTTCTCACTCACACTCCCTCCCTTCATCCTCCCTCTCCCCCTCTCTGGCACACCTAGATGGTTCTTCCCTGCTTTGGTGGGTGCTACCTGTCGTCAGTGCTCTCGGTTTACCTCACTCACATGCTTCCCTCATCCGATTCATTCCTTCTCCCCTCCTTCCCTTCCCCCCTTGTCTCTTTTGATAGGTGGTGCTGCCGAGCTTTGTACAGCGTTACCTGTCGTCAGTGCTCATGTTGTTTCCCACTCACACTCCTCCCTCACTCTGTTCCATTCCTTCCAACCCCCCCTCCCCAACCCCCCCCCTCTCTTTTTTGTGCATGACAGGTGGTGCTGCCCAGCTTTGGAGAGCGTTACCTGTCATCAGTGCTCTTCTCTTTCCTCACTCACACCCTTGCGCTGCATTTTGCCCCCCCCCCCCCCCCCCCCCCTGTCACACCACACAGGTGGTGCTGCCCGGCTTTGGAGAGCGTTACCTGTCATCAGTGCTCTTCTCTTTCCTCACTCACACCCTTGCCCTGCATTTTGCTCCCCCCCCCCCCCCCCCCCCCCTGTCACACCACACAGGTGGTGCTGCCCAGCTTTGGAGAGCGTTACCTGTCATCAGTGCTCTTCTCTTTCCTCACTCACACCCTTGCCCTGCATTTTGCTCCCCCCCCCCCCCCCCCCCCCCCCCCCCCCTGTCACACCACACAGGTGGTGCTGCCCAGCTTTGGAGAGCGCTACCTGTCGTCAGTGCTCATGATGTCACTCACTCACTCTTCCCTCATCCTGCTTCTTTTCTCGCCCCCATCGCCCCTTCCTTTCCCCCCTGCACACCCCAGGTGGTGCTGCCAAGCTTTGGTGAGCGTTACCTGTCGTCAGTGCTCTGCTCTTTCCTCACTCACAACCTTGCCCTACGATTCGCTCCCCCCCTCCCTCCTGTGACACCATCCAGGTGGTGCTGCCGAGCTTTGGCGAGCGCTACCTGTCGTCAGTGCTCTTCTCGGCCCTGCGGACAGAGGCAGAGCAGATGACACCCTCTGTCTGAAATGAGATCACTTGACACCCTCGGCATGAGATGAAACAGCACTTGTGGTTTAGATGAGACATCCTGAGTCCGATACTGCTGTTACAGACATACCTCATGGTAGATTTTTCTTTCAAGCTGGCACATCATGCCAACTTCTGAAATGTGCTTTTGGGGTTCATTTTTTGGTTACCAAATCAACGACAGCCGTGAACTTCTTTTCGCATACTGGTCGAAATTTAATCCTGATGCATCCTTTATGGAATGGACCGATGCAATTGCGGCTGCATTTTCCAAATAAAATAATTCTGTTAATATTCCACATACTATTTATACGTTGAAGAGATTTGAACGAAGAAATGGAAACGAATTTTCAATATTGTCGATTTTTTCTCAAAAATTCAAAAGAGGTGCTCCTCCCTCCCTGTCCGGCGAGTCTCTCATCTGGGCCACCTGTTTCTGTGACAGTCATACCCTGGCCGTCGATCGCCGATCAGCACTAAATTCTACAACGGCTCTTGATGATGTGAGCAGAGAACGCGACAACGCACAAGTGCTCACGAGAGTAGAACCACAGGCTCGGCACCTTCATATATTTGGTATTCGCCACTCCATCACGTAGAGTTCGCGTTCCTCTCGAGTTTTAATGTGACTGTCCGTTTGCTTGCTGGCAAAACTGTCTCCGTTCACCTCTCCCTCGCTCGCACGCACATCACCTTGCCGTGTACGAATGTTGGACGGCCGCGCATCGCGCGGCGCGTGAATTGCTCGTTCGATGCGCAGCACCTACCTCTGCTAGATCTCGAAATGCGGTGTCAATCGGTTCTGCTTGATCCGTTACTGCTAGCCGACTGCCAAATAATCATTGCCGGTCGACGTTAACCGGCTGTTACCGACTGCTAGAAGCCAATGGAGAGCGAGCGCGAGAAGCGGAAGCGGGAATGGGCGGCGAAGTCGCTAGCGGAGGCGGAGGAGCGGCGAGTGCGGAAGGCGGTGCGCGCGGCGCTGGGCAAGGCGGAGAGCGCGAGGAGCGACGAGGAGATCCAGCTGCTGGAAGCCAACGGTCAAATCGCACGCGAGGTGAGACGGTCGCATGGCATCGCATGGCGTGTCACAACCTCTCACGGTGTAACACCTTCTAAGAGCCCGTTGAATGGGTGGTGGCCCCCATGCACTCTCAATTTCATTCTCTTTCAGGCAGGTGACCTTTGCATTTCTCCAGGTAGCATTTCTCCAGGTAGCATTTCTCCTGGTAGCATTTCTCCAGGTAGCTTTTGCTGAATTTATTCTGTTTCATTTGAATCCACCGCCTCGTGCCACGTGTCATGGGTGGGTGGGGGGTTGCTTGCTCTTTGCAGTTCCCTCTCAGGCACTGGAGTAGAGAGAATGTTGAGAGTCGACCCAAAAGCAAAACAATAACCGCCTCCTTGTCTTGTGCGTTGCAGATCTCTCAGTCATTGGAGAAAGCGAAGGAACGGCAACAGCAGAAGAAAGAGCGGATGCAAGAGGTCAGTTTTCCGTTTCCAATCTGCATGCACAATGTCACAGCTGCTTTTTTTTTAGAATTCTCAAAAAACACAATCTGCATGCACAATGTCACAGCTTCTATCTTTTTCAAGTTGGGCAACGTGCTCTGGGCCACCTTAACGCTCGCATGTATACTCACGAATATGTGCGTCACATTTTGAGTAGCTAAGGTGCTTGCGGTAACGCTAGTCCAGAGGGGGCTGGAGGGGATTTATTGGGAGTTGTGGTTGTGCTATTCACGGGGAAGCTGACTTTTGACTCAAAAGTCAACTCTAAAGTCTGCGATCAGTGGGGAAGAGCTGCAAGATTCGCGTGGGGGAGTGGAGTGGAGCTTGCGCCGTTGGCTTGGCTCACCACACACCATTCCTTAGCACTCTTGCCTTATGCGGCCCCCTCCGCTCCGCCCCTCTTTTTAAGGCGCCTAAAAAAAAGTGGTGCTTGCGCCATTGGTCCACCACACATAATTCCTTTGCACTCTTACCTTATGCCCCCCTCCGCCCCTCTTTCCCACATCAGGCCTCTCTTCTCCTCCACCCCCCACTTTTGAGTCGACTCAAGATTCGTCCGCCCCACTTTCCCCCATCAGCTCCCTCTCTCCCCTCCATCCTCCAACCCCTCCACCTTCCTTCACCTTTCGTGCTCTCACCCATCTTGGCCACCCCCTTCACCATCCCCATAGGAGGAGGGTCGCTGGAGCAAGTGAAGGGGACCCCAAGCAAGTAGAGGCGAAGACTCGGCAGCTCTTTTGTGGATCCTCAGAGTCACCCTCTGGCTCAACCCCTCTGATCCTCACCCTCCTCCCCTTTCTCCCCATCCTCACCCTCCTCCCCTTTCTCCCCATCCTCACCCTCCTCCCCTTTCTCCCCATCCTCACCCTCCTCCCCTTTCTCCCCATCCCCACTGGAGGGGGACCCCACCCCATAGGCACAGACTAGGACTCAGCTTGGCTTTGATGCGCCGCCTCAAAGCCACTCCCACAGTCACTCCCCCCTTCCCCACTTCTCACGCGCTCGCCCCCTCCCCATCTCACCTTCCTCCCCCGTAGTGCCATCCCCAGCAACTCCTTGAGGGCCCAGCAGATCAACTCTCTTGCTTGCGGCCTGCACCCCGTCTCCCCTTCCCTTACCCCCCTTCCGCTTGCCCCACCCACTGGAGCAAGTAAAGGCGAGGATTTAGCAGATGCTGTGGGTTGCTAAGGCCCAGTGGATATTTGAGGTGCCACAACCCTCTCTCCCGCGGCTCTCATCCCCTCTCCTCCGGCCCTCAACCCCTCTCCTCTCCCACCTCCCCTCACCTACCTCCCCATTCACCCCTTCCCCCCTCCTCCCTCCCCTCCTGCCCTGCCCCTTACCCCGTTCCCCCTCTCCTCCTCCTCTGCTGCCCCATCCCCTTAGGAGGAGGACCCTCCGGAGCAAGTAGAGGCGAAGATTCAGCAGCTGCTGCGGCTTGTGCTGGAGTGCCGGAGATTCGAACAAAAGTGCCTCACTCCTCTTCCCTCCCTTACCGCCCACCCCCATTCCTGCCCCCGGCTCCTCAGGAGGAGGACCCCCCTGAGCAAGTAGAGGCGAAGCTTCAGCTGCTTTATAAGGCGCCCTCCCCTCTCTCTCCTCTCACCCCTAACCCCCTGCCTCCCCCCTCCCCCTCTGGCTCCTCAGGAGGAGGACCCACCAGAGCAAGTAGAGGCGAAGCTTCAGCAGCTGCTGCGGCTTGTGCTGGAGTGTCAGCAATTCGGAAAAGCGGGGGACAACAGCCAAACAGCAGCAACAGGGACGGCAGCAGCAGCCGCAGCAGGAGCAGCAGCAGCCGCAGCAGAGGCAGGGGCAATAAGAATAAGAGGGGGGTTAGGGACAGTGAGAGGGGGACTGGTGGTTCACAGTGGGGCGGGGCTGAGCACAGCAGCAGGCATCCCGGACTTTAGAGGGCCGAAGGGCGTGTGGACGCTGCAGGGGGAGGGAAGGTGGGAGGAAGCTGTGGCAGCCATGGGGAGAAAGTACGAGGAAGCTTCGCCCACGGTGGGGCACATGGCTGTGGCAGCGATGGTGGGAGCTGGCATAGTGCAGCACGTGGTGACTCAGAACGGTGGGTTGAATGCGCTCTTGTCGAATGTCTTAGAGAAGGTACCAAGGGGAATCCTCCCCGAAGGGGATAGTGGCACATGGCAGTGGCAGCAATGGCAGTGGTAGTTCTAGTAGTTTAAGCCCGAACCACTTCTGCAAAGCTCTCTCTGTTTCATGGGTTGTGTGCAGCGTGCTGGGAGCAACGTTGGGAGTGTGGGCGGGGCACCTTTCCCGCCCACCTCCCTCTCACTTCCCATCTACCCATACTCCCTCCTGTCCACCTTCCCTCCCAACCAGTGGACGGCCTTCACTCCAGAAGCGGCATTCCATCCAACCGGCTATCGGAGCTGCACGGGTCAGTGTATCGGGAGAGGTGCAAAGAGTGCGGGGCCAAGTACCTGCGTCCGTTTGATGTCACTGCGGCTAGAGGGTCGTCATATCACCGCCACAAGACCGGACGGCTGTGCACTGCAGTGGCTGCTGCTGCTAAATTTCCGCATCCTGAAGTTGACGTATCGGCCAGGGAGAAGTGGAATGGGAGAGAGGGGAACGAGGCGCAAGAGGAGGAGGAGGTGAAGCAGCAGGGAGTGCCATGTGTTCAGAACCCTGTGCAAATCCCTGTTCGGAAGCCGAGAAGTTCTGCAGCAGAGCGAGCTCGAATGTCTCAGACATGCACAGGCGGAGGGGGCCGTGTGAAGGAGGAGAACCAGGAGGTGCTGTCTGGTGAGGGGAGGCAGTGGCATGAACCTGGAGCAGTGAGTTTGGAGTCAATGCAAAAGCCAGCTCAGATGTCCACAGGCGGAGGGGGAAGTGTGAAAGAGGAGAGCCAGGAGGTGCTGGGGTGTGAGGGTAGTAAGAGGCATGAACCTGGCAGGGCGAGTTTTGAGTTGACTCAAAAGTCAGCTCAGATGTCCATAGGAGGAGGGGGCAGTGTGAAAGAGGAGAGCCAGGAGGTGCTGGTGGTGGGTGAGGGGAGGAAGTGGCATGAACCTGGAGCGGTGACTTGTAATTCTGACGGAAGTCCTGGAGTGGTCATTGGAAGGGAGGAGCATGAGGAGGATCAAGAGGGTGATTCAACGATGGGCGAGAAGGGAGATGTGAGGGGATAGAGTGAGGAGGAGGAGAAGGAGCAGAGGAGGGGAGGGGAGGTGAAGGTTGAAGTAACGAGAGAGTGTGAGGGCAGGGGAGCGAGGGAAGAGGAGCAGATAGAGGAGAAGGGCGGGAAGGAGGAAAAGGAGGAGGAGGGAGGGGAGGAAGAAAAGGAGGAGGGAGGGGAGGGGAGGCGTGAGGGTGGGGCTGCGTGTGGGGGCGAGTTGGTGGATTCGATAGTGCACTTTGGGGAGAGGATAGATGATGAGGAGTTGAGTAAAGTGAGGGAAGCCAGCATGAGCGCACATGTGGCATTGTGCATTGGCTCGTCCTTCAAGGTGCGTCGGGGTTTTTTGTTGCAAATTCTTAAAAGTGAATTTCAGGTCCGTTTGACTGAACTGCCACAGTTTCAAGCCACTTCAGCACTATCTGTATCATGCATAAGAGAAGAAGCTGGGAGACACAGGGCATGGGAAAAATACAGCGTGAGAAAGTTGGAAGGGAAGGAGGTCACCGAGGCAGCACGATTGGATGTTGGTCCCTCTCTCCTTTTCTCCTCTGAGTCGCTTCACAAGTGGCTAATCGATTCTTCTCTCCCCTCACCCCCACCAGGTGCCACCAGCCAACAAGTTTCCCGGTCTAGCAACTCACATCGTCATAATCAATCAACCTTCAGCGCACCCCTCTCGACCGCCACGCTTCCATCACCATCCGAGCTCGCATCGATGACGTTCTCCCCCGCCTGCTGCACCTGCTGCACCTCCCCCTGCCCGCTTACCTTCTCCCTCCCTCCCTAACCTTCTCCCTCCCTACATACCCTTCTCCCCACCAGGTGCCACCAGCCAACAAGCTCCCCCGCTTAGCAACCCATCTGGTCACCATCAACCTTCAGCGCACCCCTCTCGACCGCCACGCTTCCATCACCATCAGAGCTCGCATCGACGCCGTTCTCCCCCGGCTGCTGCATCTGCTGCACCTCCCCCTGCCCGCATACCACCGCCACTCTGACCCCCTCCTCTCAATCCCCAGCACCGCTCTCCACTCCCTCAAACATGTTCATCGCCTCCCCCTCACCTGCTCTCCTCCCTTTTCTTTTTCGTTCAAGCGAAGCACGCAACCTGCAGAAGGAAAGGAAAAGGACGTGACTGCTGAATTGCCTCAGAAGGTGCGTATATCCCTGCCCCACCATCCGTAGCATGCAACAACTAGTATGAGGTGTGTGGTGTCACTGCTGCACATGTTTCCACTCGAAGCATGCAGTAATGAGTATGAGATCATGCGACTGCAGGTGGAATTGGGCATGCTAACCCCATTCATTCAGCAAGACAACATTTCAAGTGCTAGTGGGCCTTCTCTGTACTAACACTGTTGCATTCTTACCCCCTGCATTCGACAGGCCAGTAATGTCACAAGTGCTAGTGGGGACACCATCAGGCCGATTCTCTTCTTGCACAAGGCAACAGGGACCAAGGGGAGGAGGAAGAAGCAGAAAGCTAGGACCTCGTTCCCTCGCCCAACCATGTGAGCTTCGGGCAGCAACAATGTAGGTTGATATGTACCTATGCGTTGTCAGAAATACTGTACCGTACTTACTGGGCATAACACCCGCCGATTTAGCGGTCACCCAGGTCGTTTATGTGGGGTTAGGAGTCGTACCTTTTTGGGTATTATAGCGATGTGTCAGATTTTAAGTGAAAAATTTTTATCCTTCACCTTTGAAAGCTGCTTGCAGTGCTGCTCGATACTTTGAAAGAAACAAAGTGAAAACAAAACATGTGTAAAATACATGTTTATGTGCCTTATTAAAAAACGACGTCCTTAGTGTTCGCCCTAGTTTTACCAATGAATTTTAGTGAAGTTCCGCGGGACTCGGGGATACTGTAGGTCCTGTTCTCACTTGAGTCGGGCCCTACCCCCAACCAGATCGTGATGAACTTGAACTAATGTAGTTCGATAGACCATAACAAAGCTCGCCAAAATGATGGCGAGCCTCGTCAGCCAGTTACTTCTTCCACAGCAAACCCGTCGAAGCCTGAGCTGAACCAATTTTACACGCCCTTTTTTGGGTCAGCAACAGGGGCCTGGTTTGGGCGACTGGACATCATTAGGAACGCGTTTCTCCAACAAGCAGCCAATAGAAGCCATGACAGAACGAGGAACGTTGCCTAGCTACTAGTAATGCTCGCCAATGTGACGCTGCTGCTGCTGCTTCCGTCCGTACGATTCTTGCCACAACAAATGCTGAACCTCATTGGAAGTAACAAACGGAAAATGCCTTGCTGGACGTTACTGCACTACGTCATTGGTTCGCGATCAATACTCTACAATAAAAACAAGAGGCGACTAGGTCGTCCTAGGGTTGCGAAGCAAATTGGTATGAAACTTTCTCATTGTAGTGTAGTATGAAACCATAGTAGCGTGGTACAAAGTGGTGCATCATCTTTCCTAAAAAGTTCGAATCTGTCCTGGAGTTGGAATCGAACCCCCGACCTTTCGATTCTTAGCAAAGTTTCAACCGACTGGGAAAACGCTGCTGCTTTACGAGCGTAACGTATTTTACAAAACCGTTTATTTTGCGACGAATTTGGCATTGCATTAGGGTTAGTTCAACCCTTTCCTTTCTCCCTCGCTAGTTGAACCACCCCCGCCAGTCACGCTACTCCACCTGCAGATGCAAGGTGAGATCAACCTAAGTTAGGTGATTAAGAGCTAGCCTGTATAGAACTAAGTTAGGAGATTAAGAGCTAGCCTATCATTTCTTATTATCGTATCGTAGTCGTTTACTCAATTCTTGGTCATTTTAAAGGATCCAGGTTTTTAAAGGTTAGGTTCTAGACTTGTTTCAAGTACTTCAGCTCTAAGTCGTTTATAAGCCTGCATGCGTTCTTTAGTTCCTCATCGTCCTTTTCCTTCCGTCGCATCCTTTGTCAGAATGCTATTATTGTCTAGCCTGCAGTGGGGTACTCTATAGCGAGTACAGCCCAATCTAGGGTTTGCTATTTGTACTCAACTGCCTGCTAGTTCAACCTCTCTCCTTTCAATCATTCTTGCCTAGTTCTTCTGACATGGTATCAGAGCAGGTCGACCCTCCTGGGTCGATCCTGTGGGTGGGCCCACCACCTAAGCCTTCCGCTGCTACTGCTACTGCTACTGCTACTCCCTGTCCGCCGCGCGCCCCGTGGCGCGCGGCGTCGAAACTAGGGTTTTCAGCCCGCCGTGCGCCCCGAGGCACGCGGCGGTTTTCTGCCCGCCGTGCGCCCCGAGGCGCGCGGCGGTTCTCTGCCCGCCGTGTGCCCCGAGGCGCGCGGCGGGTTCCTGCCCCGTCACTCGGCACGTCGCCCCCGGGAGGCGCTGCGACGGGCGACGGGGACCCGCGCGTCGCCCCCCGTCGCCCGTCGTGGCCTGCGCGCGGCCCGTACGGGCTGCGCCAGGCCCGCGCGCGGCCCGTACGGGCTGCGCCAGGCCCGCGCGCGGCCCGTACGGGCTGCGCCAGGCACGCGCGCGGCCCGTACGGGAAGCGCCAGGCCCGCGCGCGGCTCGGGCCGCCTGCGCGCGGTTCGGGCGGCTCTACCAGGCCCGTGGGCGGCCCGTTCCTCGCTGCTCCTGCCCTCTCCACTGTCCCCCGTGCTTCTACCGGCGCCTCACCCCTCCTACAGCCCGTTCTCCTAAATTAGGGTTTGGGGGTGAAGAGTGTGGGGGTGGCGGCTATGGGGGTGTCGGTTGTGAGTTCCTCCCCCTGCTCCTCCTCCTCCCTCGTCTCCCTCTGCTACAGCTGCCGCTGAGGGGGGTGGTGTGTGGGAGCCTAGGGTTTGGGGTTTAAGGGGGGTACCGTCGGAGTGGAGCTAGGGTGTCAGCAGGGGGTGTGTGAGAGGGGCGTGGGACGGTCGGGGGAGATTGCGTGGAGGTAGCCGTCGTGACGCCAGCAGCGCCAGTAGTCCGGATGCCCTCGCGCGTTTCGGTAGCCCAGCGAGCCTGCTTCGCCAGTCGCCTGTGGGTCCGTTGCTCCTGTGTGTGCTCGTCGTAGCCGCGGAGCCAGATACTCCCGTAGTCCGGTGCCCTCGTGCGCTCGGTAGCCACTGTGCGCGCCGCTCCTGTTGCCCGTGTGTCTGCAGCTTCAGTCGGCGCCTTTCATCTTCTCTCCTCTCGCCAGCCCTCCTCCTCCTCGCTTGCCCTCTGTGACTGCCTCTAGCTTTGCTCATAACTGTGAACTTTAAACTATTGCTTCTTGAACTTGTGCTCAGAATGTGTGGTGACATTGTGATCCACCCTGAGCTTGTACTGCTTTGCTTGCTCTGCTGATTACACCCCACTTTGGCTATGGGGGTGTGTCAGAATGCTATTATTGTCTAGCCTGCAGTGGGGTACTCTATAGCGAGTACAGCCCAATCTAGGGTTTGCTATTTGTACTCAACTGCCTGCTAGTTCAACCTCTCTCCTTTCAATCATTCTTGCCTAGTTCTTCTGATATCCTTATCACCTTGTAGTTGCATATGTTATTTGACATTCTCACTTCATTTCCTCTTTTGTTCTTTCTATGTAGATTTGAATACTTAACCTTCACGTTTTAGTTCTTGTCTTGTGCTCCTTATTTATTGCCACCACCCATACGTGCCTTCTCCATTTCGTTTCTGAGCTCTATATACCCTTGCCCTTCAGCTTTCATTCCATTCAGTCATGAGGTACACATTCAACGGGCGTCCCCTTTCAACTATGCACGATCTAATCGTAGCTAGGTGAGTTCGCTCTATTGATATTTTTGTTTTGTTTTTTTGTTGTTGTTTTTTTAGTATTTGTATTTCGCCTCTCGTGTTTCTCTTATCCGTTCCTCTTTCCGTATTAGTCTGAACTTTATCCTTGTTCATTAGACATGAACTTCTGTTTGTTTCCGTTGCATCTCGTTTCCGTTTCAACAATGTTTTTCTTGAATTGGTTTATTCTACGTTATAGGTTATTTGTTAACCAGCACTCGTTTATAGTTTTGAACGGTCCTCTTATTGGGCTCTTAATTCTTAGATCGGTTTCTTAATTATTTGTTCCCTTTCTTCTTTTGTAGTTTTTTTGTTTCTGTTGCACCTAGTTTCCTTGCTTCTCTATTTTCTCTTGTTTCTCTGATCCTTTTTATTTTCTGTTTCACCTCTTTCCATATGCTTCTTTCAGCATGTTTGTTATCTGATTCTTGTATCCATGTTAACTAACTGGTTCTTTTTTTTTTTTTTTTTAAATGGAAATTGGATGTATCAAATCAGTTCAGCACGTGAATAGCAAAATTATAATGTATTGTGTCATTGCTAGGATTCTTTGCGTTTCTGTTGTACAATTTTGCACCTTATCCTCATTGTTCCATATTTGTCTTTCTTTCTTTCTATTGTTGATTCTTTCCCTTGTTGTTTTCTTCAGGAAGTGAAGGTTTTTTTGGACGGTGCAAAGCAAAGATAAGATGGTTTCGTGTAGGATTATATGTATATGGCCAGGGTTTAATTCTGCTTTTAGTTTTCTATTATTATTTTTTAACAGTTGATGCATTGAGCGTTTTTCGTTTGTGTGAATATGTGTGATCATGTGCATGTCTTTGTATCTGTCTATGTGCGTGTGTGTTTGCATTGTGTTGTGTGCGTATGTGTTTTCATTCATGCTTCCATTGCATTAATAACACATGTCTGTGGGTTTTAAAAAATTGGATCAAACTATCATTTCCGAGAAGGTTCTTTGCCCACTCAGTGAGTGTGTTCATTTGAACTGGATTTGATAGAATTGACCTTTTTTTTACTTCGCACAGATTGTGTTGTTTCATGTGACAGTTGGATGACTCAGGAACTATGCTATTGAGCTCCCCCCCATGCTAGGCAGGGGATGCCGTAGCATAGGGTCTGTGTCAATTAACTGTGACGCATTTTTATCATGATATGCATTCATTTCATTACCACAGTAGTATATGCAACATAATTATGCATTTTTCCATTAAATATTTTTTTCACCATATCCATCATTATACTTCATCTATGCATACCGTAACATCATCCGGCTTATGCATTACGGAATAAGGGTATATTCCTGTCTGGACACAAATGTCTCAATCCCGTCATAAAACCAATGTACCGGTCTGCACCGCATTAAAATTAAGAATCGAAGATTTCCATCGCACTGCATCTCTTCATTTGAGACGCGAGGCCTTTGTGACGCGCTTCAGGAATGTACCCTAAACAGTCACGCGTTCACAGGAACATCATTTTAGCAACCCATAGAGTATAGGTTCGGTCAAGGCGAACCAAGAAATAAGAAGAAATGTGGTACGGCGCATACTAAATTGCCATGGCAAAGACATGGCAGTCAGTCACTTAGTTACCTTATCCTTTTTTTTTTTTAAGTAAAGAGGATGAAAAAAAAAATTGAACATAACGATTGTAATAGGTTGCTTCGCAACCCAAAAACGCCGAAACATTGTCTGAAGAATCCCCTGACTAACAAAGATGTACATCGTGGGGACACACCCCAGACATCATTATACGGATTGCACCGGAAAGGGGTTGGTATGCTTGGGGTATGTTGTGCACAAGTTGCCGAACAATCCAGAGGGTTTCGAAGGAGACTGTGTGAACAGTCCCTGATGACTGTACCACCTGGAAACCCGTAACAACTACCCCGCTATGAATACAGCTGAACCTGCCATGTACACCCCGCCCATATAGAATACCGTATAGCCTTCTTACGTCAAAATTAAAATTGTGACTATGAACACAGTCACATGTGACTACGGCCGAATGTGCCGCTACAGAACGATGAGATAACACTGTACTTACACTCGGAAATGACTGCGCTTCACTATGGGGTACGCATGTAAGGTTTGATATTAACACGTAATGGAGTTTAGGGACGAGGTATGCGTAACACGTAACCCTTCGCAGGAGCCGCGTGCGCTGCCACGTGTCGCACGTAGGGTTACAATTACCGACGCGTTCCCTGCAGTCGCTGCCCGGCGCCAGTGAACACGCCCTCCGTATGGTGTACTGTTTGAGAAAGATCGCCCTCGTACATTGTATAGCAAAAGCCACACTAGAAAAGAAAACACAAATACAGCAGCAGGGTATAGCGCTCCTCAGAGCGTTCAACCATACATGCAGCCACGAAACACACTGTGGGCTGGGGAGAGTTTTCCCGCCACTTGTGGAATTAGCAAACACAAACAACGCCTGCGCCTGCGCATGCGGGGCTGGTGAGATGGCCTTGGGAACGTGCGTAAGTCAAACGCACTTCGCTGCCCCACCAGGGCAGAGACGGGGAGCCGCCTAATTGGCACGTGGGGTCACTGCAGGGATTACGGGAACATTGGCTGGAGGGGGGTTCGGAGAGAGATGCTCCATGCCTTCTTCAGAGATGAGGATGAGACCGTCACGCCTGAAGGCCCAGCCACGCTTATCGCTATCCCAAAAGGGGCCCTCCTGTGCGGTACGGCGGAGAATCGCGCTGTGAAGCCAGCGCTTCATGCGTTCGTGGTACCAGCGCACGCCCTCCTCATTACGGGGGGCGCTGCGAACGAGGGAAGTGCCGGTGGCGATAGGCACCTCTACCTGCTCACGAGAAACACAAACCATGCAGATCATGGTTTAGAACACTACAACCACTTAAAACAGAGAGGAAGCTACTTAATGTACATCGATGCCACGGTCCTTACCCCGAACAGCCAGAAGGCCACCACATACGTCCGCAGCAGCAGGGGAGGCGGGATGGGCCTCTTGAAGGACGCTTAGAGAGCGCGCTCGAAAATCTCGGTCGAAAAGGGCAGCCCCGCGGCATTGCGATGCCATGGCATCAGCTCAAAGGTGGCAGGCCCTGTACGGATAAGATAGCCCAGGATTTGTGCGAGCGTGAGCAGACAGAATCAATGTCCAATGCACCAATCTGAAATCGCAGCCACATTGCTCACCAGCCTTGTATCGTGTGGTGAAGTCGCGACGTGTGATACGCTCCACCTCCTGCCCGTCGGGGATTACGGGCAAGTTGATGCGCGGATTCGCCCCAGCGTCGTACGGGAGACCGTGCAGAATGTACGCGTTTGCCCTCCCCTGCTCCCACTTGGTGTTGCGCCAAACCTGCATCCTGCGCGTGAACCAAGCCACACGCTTCTCGTCGACGCCCCAAATCATGTGCAGCAGTGTGAGCTCTCTCGGTGATGTGAGCTTGAGAGCGCGGGCGACGCACCACTCTGCGAGCGCCGGGGGGACCCAGAAGTTCATAACCACCACGTTCGTGTCGTATGCGAGAATGCTGATGCTGTCCTCCACCACACCCTGCATATGATGGGACCACGGGGTTTGCATCGACATAAGGATAGGGTACAAACAGCTGCTACACAGGGTTTAGTTTGCATAACACGACCGTAATCTCACCTTAAATCCGTCCTCCAGCGTCGGGATCATCTTGTTCCCCTGCTCAAGATTGTCGCCCCAGTCAAGTATGGCAGGAGTGGCCCGCGAGCCAGCGTGGCTCTGACGGATCTCCCTGGCTATGGCCTGCGCCACCAGAGGCGACCTGGTGTTACGGCGTGTGTCGGTGTTGACCCCATGCGGCGGCGACACGCGCTGCCTGGTGGCCGGTGGTGGATCTGCATCATCCTCGCGCGCGCGTGCAGAACGGGGCACATTCCGAGATGCGGCCTCCCGAGCAGCTGCCGCCCGAGTCCCTTCGAGACGCTCGATGGTCTGGTTCAGTTCCAGGATGCGACGCTCCTGCAGCCTAACACGCGCTGCCACTGCCGCGTCCACCGGCTGGGCGGCATTGCGAGCAACGGAGCCCGCACCTCCCGCCGAAGTCACTGCAGGTCCGCGATTGCCGGGCCGTGCCTCAATGGAAGTCGCGTTTGACGATGCCGCAACAACCTCGGAGATCAGGCGGTGCTGCCTATGCTCAGCTGAAACAAACAGCCAACCAGCAGCTACAGTTAACGAGGAACGGAAAAGCATACATACGCGCCAGCCTATACTCCACGGCCAACAATCTAGATGAGGGTCAACAGCTACACACCTTCGGCGTCCTCATTCACTGGTTCGCTCTCAGTTTCTTCGTCGGTGTCCTCTGGCGCGTCCTCCACATCGAGACGGTCGGCCCACTGCAGATAACCCGTCTCATTGTCGGTCTCCTCGTGGCCCGCTGAGTCATCCCCGGCGGACGGAGTGCGCCCCTGACGTCCGCTGACGTGCGGCGACTGGGTCCCGTGCCCGTAGTAGATCATGTCTTCGTCGTCGCTACGATGGCCAGCATTCCTCCTGGAAGAGCGACGGCGAGGTGTGAACGGTGAGTTAGCAGGCTCCATCATAAACGCTGATAGTCAGTGACTGCCTCTCGTTACTTGGAATAGGTAGCGACAGATGTGGTATGGGGGGGAATTTGCCAGCTATTCATACCTCAACGTCGCCGAGCACTGCTGAGGTGATGGCTGTGCAAGTATGCGCTGGCGAGCATAGCGGTGGCTGAGCCACTCTGAGCTGGATTAGGGAACGCGATCGTGCTTTGCTGGCGCCCTGGTTTTCATGTGACACCAAACGCGTCACAAGCGTTTGGGTCGAATGGTACCCGTGCATGACGTGTACTAGCGTGGTGATAGCCAGCGCGGGAAAGATGAAGAAGATATTTCGTACCCCCAGGTGCAGCTTAATCTACTCGCGCGGGAAAACGAAATCGACATTGGGTGTAACCGTGACACGTTTGCATCCAGCACAGGCCGCAGATCTACGCTGTTCTCCACGTCATTGTGACAGGAAATGACAGCGAGACGGAATGACGGCCCCAACGATGACAGCTCCGCGAGATCGCGGCGCGATGAAGTCACGCAAGGCGGTGTAGACCTATTCGTTTAGATACACTCACATCTACTCGATGCGCGTTGGCTCAGAGTCGTACCAGGGTTTCTGACAATGGTGGGCCGGCACCAGTCTCTGTGATGCGTGGGGGTTTGTGCTTCGCGATTATATGCAGTCACAATTTCACGGCAGGTAATACGAAATCAACACATACATCTGGTGTATACCGTGGAATCAAGTCACACACACAAGGCATGCCGAAAAACAAAGCTAACTAGCACCGGCAATTGCAAACAAGCACCTAGAGGCGGAAATCAGGGAGATCCTCATCAGGATGATTAAAATCCTAGTCCTGATAAACAAGCCTATACAGAGGCGCCCTGCTCAGCCCTTCGGGAACGTCCCACGGGTAAACACACATGTGTTTCCCATAAAGAGGGGATCCACCACAGCTGATCGCCGCCGGAATCTCCCACCAGGCTAACATGCCAAGAGCATGTGCCAGAATGCCCGCGCCGATGCCATCCACACCACCAATGTGGCGGAACTGCTGGTAGTTGTACAGCATCGGCTGCGCTATCTTGTACTGCGCGAATTCCTTGCGCGCGTCGGCAGCCCCCCAGAAGTCGTATTTGCCGTGCTGCATCTGTGCAAAACAGCGACGCAAGCGCATTAAGTCTACCATCGCACAAGGGCTTTGAAACAAAGACTACTAGAATGGCCACACAAAACTTACCACCCATCCTTCGCTCATGGCGAAGTGCATGAGGAAAGTGCGGTAGTCGTGCTCAGCAGGCGTCGCCGACACCAAGTTGTCTAGACCAGTCGCGCGCAGGTTCACACCCTTGTAGCCGGCCTTCACTATCTCGACGAATCGCACCGAGCTTGCGAGTTTATCCGCTGGATCGCGCCCGTCGTGCATATCTGCAAAGATGCACTCTGTATCGATGAACGAAACTGCCCTCCCCTGCACCATTCGCATGGCAGTCAGTTTCTCCAAGGCGATACGGCGTTGCGCCGAAGCGACGGCATGGCGTTCAGGGACCAAATGCATGACGCTGTCGAGCAGTTTCTTAGGCGTTGGTGCTTCCCTGGCCGTCATTAAACGCACGTATTCATCCTGCATCAGCAACGCCACCACTTCCGAAAAATCACGCACCAAGACTGCGACATATGGTGGGCGCGTTGAAGCGGAGCGGATGCGAGGCCACGCAGGTCCACGGTAAGCAGTGCTCTCATAGCGCCTGCTCCCATCCCTGGCACTTCTCCATACAGATGGCTGCGCCACATTCCGAGGGACTTGCGAATTCACCATTTCTGCCTCAATGTGAAAGTGCAATTGTGGAATGACCGTAATGCGCGGCTGTGTGCCCATACCCCAGAACGAATAATGGCATTGGCCCCTAGGGTCGGAGCGACGCGCTTCCGATTCGACCGCGCGAAACCATGGTTGTGCTTGTCACCTGGTATTACTCGTCGCAGGACTTCGCCACGTTACAAGTGAGGCCCTACACGGGAGTTCAAATGCTTGACCTTGGTACCGTCGACGTGGCACGTGGTGACTGCTGACGTGCAAGATATTTTTTTGGGAAGGAGGGGGTACTACCTTAACAATGACGTGTTATAGGCCTACGCGGAAAGGTGTGGCTGGTGGGCTTGGCAGTCCTCCTAGTCCAGCTGTTCAGCACACACGTGGGGTGGCAATGCAAAGCCTCCCATCCATCTTTCGATTCGTTACCATTGTAATATATCTACAGCTCATGCTCAATTTGCTTTTCCTTAACGCGTGTCAAGCAATGCCACACTGGCTATAGCCAATCGAAACCTAACCTCCAGCACCGTGCAGGAGCAGTCAGCACAGCACTTGCATCTCTGCACGCGAAGTGCTGATTCACCCTCCTGGCTGAACCCTAGCCACCATCCCAAGTCGCACATACCACTAGCGCTACCTCCATCGTCTACTAATATGCGGAGAATGGCCTGGATATGCATTACCTCCCAGTCGTTTCACCATGGTGCGTCTAAACACGCTATACGTGTGCGAATGGTGCCGGTTCCACTTCCGCTCCCGTGCTGCCCTCATCGCGCACGCAGTCGCATGTGTCATCGCCTGCGGTCGAGGTTCATTAGGAACCATTCTGACAACACAAATGGGGCGGCAATGCAGAACGTCCAGGCTCCACCACCGGCACTGACCAATCCGCCTGTAGTCGCTGCCCAACCCGCTCCACCCGCGCTTGCTCCGGCGCCAGCCGTGACGGTGAGCTGCGTGGTCTACATCCTGCTGACAGCACGCATGTCTGGTTTTACACTCATTCATGAAATTGCAGCACGCTGATGAGGACATGTTGTATGCGCAGGGTGGTCCCGCGGCAGCTACGGTCACGCACGACAGTGACTCAGACAGCTCTGACGGCAATACGAGTGAGGAGGACTCCGATGCAGACTCCGAAGAGTCTTGTGAGACAGTATCTCGTCCGGGGCCGAACTTTGACACTCTACTGGAGGTGTACCGGTTCATCACCGGATGCAACAATGGGCGAGGTCTTTCCAACGAGAGTACCGTCTGGCTGCTGAACATCCTTCGCGAGGAGCGTCTTAACCTGGAACTGCTGCGCCTATGGAGGTCAGCGCACTCAGTGGCGCAATACGGCCTGTCGCTCATGATGGCCAGGCGTCAGTACGAGAAACGCACCGTGCATGTGGACGGGTGGCCGTCACCCTTCACCGTCATGTGCACAGATGGGTCTGAGGTAAGCGTTGGTTCCTAGTGCGTGTTGGGCGTGCCCATGCTAAATCCACAACCCTGGAGCGCAGTTAACCGCCCCTCGACTATTTTTGTGTGTGCAGGCCGTGCTTGAACTGGTCGGGAATCCCGACAACGCTGAGGGGTTTATCCTTTTTGCGCGACAGGAGTATTCTGCTGGTGGTCGGATCTGCACCACTCCTGAGACCGGCACCTACTGGGAAGAGGCGCAGGCTGCGGCGAGGCGCGTGTTTGGTCCGGAAGCGGTCGTGGTTCCCCTGATTCTCTCGAGCGACGCGACTGTACTCAGCGGTAACGAACGTACGAAGGTGTGGGCGGTTTACATATCAATCGCCAACATCCCTCTCAGGCGCAGATGGCTAGACAGTGGGAGGATTCTACTCGCCATGCTACCTTTCCCCCCCAGCCAGATGAATCCCGCACAGAAGGTTGCTCTGTTTCAGGTAGCGATGAAAGTGGTGCTTGCCGACCTCATCGTCGCGTCCCACACGTGAGTGGTGGACAGCTCTGGTTGTTCTGTCGCCAGTTGCCTGATTTTGACACATTGGGAGATCTCACGTGGGTGTGCTGTGAATATGTGTGCAGCGGCTTGATGGCGAAAGATCCCAACGGCGTTCCGCGGTTCATTGTGCCTATGCTTTTTTCCTATGTCGCGGACTACCCTGAGACCTGCAAGGTCTCATGCACCATGCAGTTAGGCTCCACTATGCCCTGCTCCACTTGCTACGTCGGTCGCGACCAGCTGGGAGACATGGACCGAGATCCAGCCGCGGCGCGTGATGTTGACCGACAGGAGGGCCTGCTCCTGGACCCGAACGAGGCGGCTGCCCACAGCACGCTGTGCATCCCGGTGAGCGAAATTGGTGACCCGATATAAATGGCCGCCAATCATAGCACTTGTCCGATTCAGCTGCTTTAGTTGCATGTGTCCTACTCTGCCTTACACCGAACCCGCCTGCTAATTCGCAATGCCTTACTCGCAAATCGCGCTGTCTCGTGTGTTGTGTGTGGGTTTGTGTCAGAGCTTCCTGTGGGATTTTAACTTCAGCAGGACGGTGTGGGGCAACACATATATGAGCATGATGCCAGATATTCTGCACGCCGTGTACATCGGTTTCTGGCTATACATCAGGCGTCTACTCCGTGGCGACCGAGCCATGGCCCTGCTGAAAGACGAGTAAGTAGCCAGGTCGCCTGTGGACAGCTCTCTCTCTGTATGTAGGCGATGGGAGTTCTGTGGCTCACCCATTCTGCAGTGTGCGGTCATGCAGGCACATGTGTGTGCTCTACCCAGACGACAGACTCGCAGGCGTCCGCGTCCCTGGGACCGAGCACTACTGGCTGCATGGCGCCAACTATACAGCCTCTGAGCACGCGGGTGTCATGATGGTAGGCTCAGTGACTAAACCCTGGTCTGCCGCGCTAAAGAGTGTTGATGCTGTAGCCGTCTTTGAGGCTGATTTGCCGTTTTCACCTGTCTGCAGGTGGTGCCTTTCCTTGTGGAGGGCGAGGGAACGTCAGTCTCGCGACGGGCCCTCGTTGCGGTTCTGCAGGGGCACGAGAGCTGTGTGCGGGCCCCCTTCCACACCGACCAGTCGCTGGTCGATTTCGAGGAGGCAACTCGCAGGTGAGTCATCGTGCATGTTGATGTCACTCTACGGATGTGTCCCTTCAATGCTGTGAAGGCCAAACCAGGTTCATCCGTATCCCTGCCGCCCCTTCATGCCTCGCCCTGATGCACAGGATGGTGAAGAATCTTGAGGAGAACTTCCCACGCGATGGCGCGGGGTGGAACCTTGTCAAGATCCACGTCATTGTGACGCACTTGCACGAGGCCATCAAGCGGGCGGGCCTTCCGCGCGAGTTCTCTGCCGCCGTCTATGAGAACGCTCATATCAGGACCTGCAAGCTTCCGTACCGCACCTCCAACCGCAGGGATCACACGGCAGCGATTGCTGCCCACAACGCGACGGCAGCACAGCTCTCCCGGCTGAGCACGGCACTCCCGGCTGGGAGGAGGAACGCCACTGCGCTGGTCCGGGTAAGCCTTGATGGTATGCTTTGTCGTAGATGCGACCGTTATTCTGCTGTCACTCTAATATGCATATGCTGCCACTTGATTTGTGTTCCTCGTTGTTTCTCACTTGCTTCCTGGTTTGGGACCATGTTTCTGCAGGCGATCGCCACGGGAAGGCCGCAGCTGACACGTGCACGGAGGTCCTTGACGGACCCCGTCATCCGTGTCGGCGGCGCCACGACCGTGTTCGGTGAGATCAACACCGTGCTGGGTGGCCTGCTGGACAGCTACATGGAAGTCATGCGGGATGGTGGCCTGCTCGGATTCCCCGCATGGGTGAGAAATCCCCTGGGCTCCCGGCATGCTGTGCCCCCTACAAGTTGTTAGCCTCGCACATATGATGCATGTCTCTTGATTGCAATGAACACACATTGCCGTGTAAGGCCCTGGATCCCTCTCGAAAAATGGAGGTACGATGCCTCGGGGCAGGAGAACGGCGGCTTGGAAGTGCGTATTGGGGGGGGGGGGGGGGGGGGGGGGGTGGGGAGAGGTGGATGAGTGCAGGGGAGCGTGAAGGGGAAAGAGGGGTGGGGGCAGGGTGGGGACGGGGTGGGGTAGAGGGGGTTCGGTTTGACTCGCCGCTCTCCACGTTTGCCCACGAGCTAACAGAGGCAACAAGTGACCCCTATGTGCTGAATTGGTACGACGCTGCTGGGCAGGAGAACGGCGGCCTATGCGCCTGGAAGTGAGTACTGGGGGGTGGAGGGGAGTGGAGTGGAGGGGAGGGGAGGAAGAAGAAGCAGAGGGGGGGGGCGGAGGGGAGAGGCAATGAGTGACCCCAACGTGCGCAAATCTGGAAGGACCGCCACCCTCTTGTTCACGTCAGAGGCTGCACCATATAACGTGGAGGCGGTGAGGTTGTTGTGAACGGCGTGTGGTATAATGCTTGCTTCCTTCTCCGTGTGACTCTCTTCCCCATGCATGAACCCCATCGCCTCTTGTCGCAGAGCCACAAGGCTGTGGCGCTACCCGCCATGGCCCTCGATTTCGGGTCGACGAGGCCACACTACGCACGGGCAGCGACGTCCATGCACGGCCACCCGGCCTTCTCGTACGTTGAGTACGAGACAGAGACCGGGGCGACGCTGCACGGGCGCCTGCTGCTGCTCCTTGAGGCGGAGTTTGAGGAGGGACCATCCGACGCCATGACGACTGAGGTCGCCGTGGTCCTGCGCCTGGTCGAGCAGGGGCACGATGAGTGCACTGGATGCACGAGGCTTGTCGCGGCTGCCGTACGAGGAGGCCTGGGGGTCATTCCGGTGACTGCCCTGCGGCGGGCGGTTCATTGTGTCCCTTCCTTTGTGGAGGAAGGGATCTGGTTTCTGAACCGGTGGGCGTACCGCTGCTTCGAGGCCGGTCCCTAGATGGGGCTGGGAATGAGCCCGGAATGGGCATCATATGGGGCTGTGTCCTTTGTGCTGTAGTAATAATAGCCACCAGTCTAGC